TAGAAAAAGAGAATCATGTCTATATTGTCGTTATTTAAAAAAAAAAATGACCAAGGTAAAAAAAAAAAAAAAAATTGTGCAATTTCCCAAACTCAATTTTGGTGCATTAAATGTAATGTACCTCTTTGTTGCTCTATAGTAAGACCTAATTGTTTTAAAGATTTTCATAGTAAACAATGAATAAATTTATTAAATATATATTTTTTAATGTTTTTTACTGATTTTGGAATCGATTTATAATATATTAATTATACTTAAATGATGTAAAAATGATATTAAAAAATTCGGGGCAAATTTGCCCCTATTTTGCATACGGATTAAGGGATAACTCTGATTATTTATTTAAGCAAAAAGATTTTATAATTCTGAATCAAAAAAAATTATTGAAGAAAATATAATGAGTCCAAATGGTAAAAAATGGCTCGATAGTATTAATAAAAACTTTGATTTATTGCACAAATTAGAAGAGGATTGTAATCATTTTTAAAAGGCAATGGAATATTCCAAATACTTAGAAAAACCGTAACTTTCTGGCTATAATAAATATTACATATATTGAGTTTATTCGAAATAAATAAAGTGATTAATTTATTGCTTATTGTTATTTAAAATAAATAATATGCTGTAAATGCTGGATCTTTTGACTGAAATAATTAAAATCTGTTCTGTAATCTTTAAATAAGAATTTCCTTAGTAATATTAAATACATATTTCAATTAATATAAATTATACTCTAATTGGCCTATTATATACAAATAATCTTGAAATGTACTTTATCAAACTCCTTTAAGATTTATCCAAGCGCCTTGTTAGAGTTATAGAAATGATAAGAATAACGATTTTTTGTTCAATAGAAAAAATTTGCTTTTTATAATCTATGAGTTACATTGGTCATAAATTTTTGAAGAAATAATTATACTGCTAATTAGAAATACCAATATGAATGCTTAGTCAGGAGTGTAGAAAATTTTTTTTCTACAGCATTGATTCATGACATAAATAATGCTGAATTTGACTATAATTGTTATTGTAATTCACATTTACAAATTATTGATAACTTTGCTTTGAACATTTGCCAAGTGGTCGAAATGGCTAAAACATTTCGGCCACAAGTATATCTAGTAACAACCTTCCCATTTTAAATAAAATTAGACCCAATTGTAACTAACTGCTTCACTTTATCCCATTTTTTTGAAACATTTTAATTGCTTTAATTTATGATATATATCATAGAGTTTGTAGAAATTGGTGTCAGAAATTTCCTATTCGTAACATAAATATATGATTTTTAATAACAATATAAAAAAAATTCTTGTGTAATTATAATAAAAAGTTCTAACGCAATTCTAAAGTTACTAGTGAAAGCACAGGATGCAACAGTATATATACAGTATGTAAATATTATTTATTAGCTACCAGTGTCTGGAACCATAGATTTAGCAATTAATAAATTTAATGTTAATGCTAAACAATGCACTCTCTAAAATAATCTAAATATTAGATATGAAACTTTTTTTCTATAGGAATAATAGCCATATATATGACTGGATTTCTTTTGCCTAAATATATTGTGAACCGGTATTATATAGTCTTGTCTAGTAATTCAGAGCTGCAATAAACTACCTTTCATAAGTCAAATGATGAATTTTTACTTCTGGTAAGCAAACTTTGTGTTCAAAAAAGTACTGAACTTGACCTAAAAATACTTCTATTGAACTATTTTCTTGCACAAATTTCACAAGAATAAATGAATTCTTTAAATACTAAGGTGAATTAGCAGATCCAAATATCTCGGATCCAATGTGAATGCGTCTGAACTGATTTACTTGAGGTAAAACAATGATTCTACTATCAGTACGTTTTAGATTTTTCTGAACTGACTTCACGATAGATAAAAATTCCATATCATAAGCATTATTATAATATTCTACTAGGATATTATATATTTCATTTAACAAACCAATATTGATTTTTTTAGAAGATAGCATTTTTCCAGGAAAAAATTCAAAACCAGTAATTGTGTCTTCAACTTCAAGCTGATAGATCTGTTTAAAATGATGAAGTTCATCAAACTCAAATTCATTATAAATTGCCAAACTTCCAGAAGTCGCTCTTGGTTGTATAAACTTTAAACTTTCGACAAGTTTCGAATTATCTGATTGTGCAAATATAAGATCGTCAAGCTGCAAATTTAACATGATGATTTGTAATAACTCAGATTTAATTTTACGGCAGCTAGTTGAAAGGAACCTAAAAAGAACACTTAATTATTAGTACACACAGTGATTCTTAATGACATGAAGGACGAACAATTAGAAATATTTTATTTGAAATTTATTATGGTGTTGTTTGAATCTTGAAATAAAATATAGTATAGGTGATACTTTAATAAACTTAAAGTAGATATTATCCATACATATTATATTCCATTGTTATACACACATTTTCTCAAAATCTATTTCCCTGACATGTTATTTACATGCTATTACACAGAATGACAATTTATTATTTGTTAGCTGTAGGTTTGTACTACATATATTGTTAATAATTGTCACCCTATGTGATATCAGGTAAATGATACGCTAGAGAATAGATTTTAGAAAAATGAGATACTGTTAGCCCTTTCAAAACCGGTATGTATGGTGGACAAGTTCTGTATCATTTTTGGTAGGTTATCGGATTTGAAAATATCACATGATCAAATAGTCAGATATCAGCCAATCAAATTGCAGAATTGGTGTCCGCTAGGGGTTTGTGGTGCAGATTTGCAATAACGAAACTTTACTAAAAAGTTGAATACTGTTAGGGTCTGTATTTATAGCAAATTCGCTCAAGAAAAACTTTTAGTTAGAGCATTAAGGTTTTTTTTTTATTAGGTTTTTGAGAAATAAGCGATTTGTGACAAAATATACTGAAATCTAATTTGTAGCTCTGTGCCCTATCATTGATTTGATTGGCTGAGTCCTATGTGACCATATCGGAAACTTAAATAAATTAGATATCGGATATCAGAAATGACAGGTTATCGGATATTACTTATGGAACCGACATTGTAGATCGAATTTTATTCGTTTATGGCAAGTTATTAGTTTTGACAGAATCGGTTTTGGGAGGGTCCACAGTATATTAAAAATTACTGTATAATAAGTAAAATTTGATATACTTACTTAAAATACTATTCATTCTCTTATATGAATAGCACAAAAAAGAGTATAACAGGCCATAATCCTTGCAACATTCAACTATGTGAAGAGATAAATGAATGTTCAGGGTAATTGACTCCAAGCTATAATTTTCTTCAATTAGACAAGCAACCTGTAACAATCGAGCCTGTGCTTCTTTCAATGCATTTTTATCAACAATATGTATTACTAATAAGAAGCAGGCTCTTACAAAATTGCTTGGAATTTTTTGGTTTTCGATATCCAAAAGATCCCACATCAATAGAATCACATATATTATAATGAAGAATTTCTATTGATCAGCTATAAAATAGAAAAATCCTTTACCTGCCGCTATTTTGAACGGGATCCTTCCAATGTCAGTTGGCAATTTAATATTTTGTACCTGTTTTTCCATCAATTCAAGACTAGATTTTAAAATTTTTCCACTGTCAATTCATAGTTTTTTACAATTCAACGTGCCATCTCCAAAAACAAACAATACATTGGGTTAACTATCAAATGTGTTATTAAATTGTAATAGAGTAAACGAAGCATTTCAGACTACCTTACATGTGTTTTACTAACATGTTTCTTTCTATCATCTTCTGTTAATTGTTTCTTCCAAATAAAGGTATTTTTATGATGTTCTATTGGATCTCTTGTTCTAAACCACGTATTCATGTCATCGAAGCCTTCAAAATTTGGTTTTTCACCTTCTTCACCATTTGCCATTTCGTAATACCTGTGATACCTGGCCAATGCAGATATATGGCCGCATAATTTTCTTGCAGCTGGAATATCATTGCTTCTATACAAAAAAACCAAATATTGATAAAATTTATTATTAGTATATACAGTTGATAATCTTTTTGAAAATAGTAGCACACAACACAGCTCAATGTATTTAATTTAACAAATAATACAGTCAAATATAATATAACGCAGATGTACATATGGGCAAAAATTTTTATGTAATAAAGTGGCTGTAATTATATAAACTCAAGTGATAAATGAATACTAATCTATAATAAATTTACTACAACCAGGTCAGTTCAGGTTGTGCTTATTGACATCACGCGGTATTACAATTAAAAATTTAAAGTCTGACAATGATTATGTGATTATAACACTAAAATTTAAATATTAATTGTCACGTCATATGATATCAGTATTATGACCTGTCGAAATTTTGGATGTCATAATTTTCTACTAGACTCACTTCTATTTAATCTCATTATTTACAGCTGTTTTCAAAAAGATGTGAACAACAATTTCCACATACCTATGTGGGAATCAAAGAATTAGAATAGCTATTTGCATATATTCACATCTTTTTAAAAACAGCTATAATCTAATTAATCACACAATTGCTCATATAGTACAGAATAGACATATAATGGATTTAAATTTAAGAATTTATTATATATGTTGTAAGTGGAAGTGGAATTAAGTAAAAATGGAATTTTATATAAGCCCAGCATTTTGGTGTTGATTTTATCATATGTAAACCCTTACCCTAACTCTAATTTAACTTGGAAATTCTGAATCTACTTAATTCCATTTCTACTTACAATATATATAAATCCATTATATATATATCGATATTAATAATTAGCATTATATATTTATTTGACTGTATCCTTATTTCTTGTTTTTTTTTTTTAAATTGTAAAACAAGTATTACTTTTATTATTAATATAAAACTCACTATGTTTAAATTGTTTTCAATTTTTTTTTAAATTACAATTAAATTTTTTAATTAAAAGAATTAGTTATTCAAAATTTGGTTATATATTAATAAATATAACTTTTTTACTTACCTACAACAAATTATGGCTATTCAAATCTATCTTTCAGAAAGATAATTATGAGTTGTTGGTAAATCAACCCCATCCCAGAATTTTAACAAGTTATCTACTACCGGGGCAAAATAATAATTAATTCGATATGATTTGACTTCTCTTGGCCCTGGTAGGAGAGCTAAAATCAACATGTTCTCTTTTTTAAACCATATTTCCTGTGGTAGATTACAAATTGTACCATATATTGCCCCACTGCTATAAAAAGCTGAAGCAAAAGGCTGAAACCAGTTCATATTAATCATTATGCCTAGATGTGAATTCGCAGTTTCAGGCATGAAAAATCTTGAGTGTTCAGAATTATTGGTATCTAACAGAAAAGTTTTTCAAACTTTACTGTCATATATTTCAGACATTAAACAAGGTTCATTGTCTCAATTAATCCACTTACGCAAACCTCAGCCATTTGTATATTGTAGATATTTGCATTTTTAAGCAGGGTAATGAGTATTTATTTCAGAATGCCAAATATATCTATCGCTTAACAGTATTTTATCTAATAATTAAGCCTCACAATATTTATGTTTAGATTGTAATAGTTGATTAGAAAACTCAATATGTGAATACTTAAACCCTGAATTATCATTATTTGTATTTCTTGAAACTATAGCATCAATATTATATAGCTTATTACAATCAGGGCAAGTTGCCAAATTTTTTATATTTTTTTAATTTTTAATGATTTTATAGCATAACTCTTTCCGATAATCCTCTGAACAATACAACAAAAAATTGAACTACAGAAAAATACTATAGGAAGTTTCAAGATAAATACTATTTCGGCTCTGTCTTTGAGTAAACAGTTGTCAATGAAGCCTGTAGACGTGAAACACTGAGGAGCAGGCATAACTTGGGCGGTTTTTCTTGGGGTCAAGCTTGTGCTTGCTGGTGGACTCCTCAAGATATTTGGCATCCAAACCAGAAGGATTTTCTGAGAACTGAACTTACCTCTGAACAGGTTGCTGTCGACAAAGCTTGAAAGACATGAAATACCGAGGAGCGGGCGTAACTAGAGTGGTTTTTCCTAGAGTTAAGTTTCTTCTTTCTGCTTTTGTAACGGACTCTCTGGGTTATTTGGTATCCAAACTAGAAGGTTTATTCTAGGAGCAAGAGTGGTTCTGCCCTAGCTGAGATAGTATTATTCTGAAGAACTGAGTATATTACTGTAAAATCTACAGAAGAACCTCACATATTTTTGTTGTCCCCACTTTTTTTCAAAGAAAATTTTGTAAAAAATGGGCGATTTAGCTACTCCCTCCAAAAGATCAACATAATGTTTACTTGCCAAATCAGGCAGCATTGTTTACATTATTATCTGTTACAACAAATACATAGATACAGGGATGTAGATAACTAGATTACATGCCTTGAATGTGGTAACCTGGACAAATGATGCTTCAAGCCCAACGGTACAAATTTTCGATCTCTCTACGGTACTAATATCGAAGAAGCCGATTTTTTTCCTTGTAGAGTTTTTTGCTTAAATATATTAATTATATAAATTAGTATAAAGAATAATTTAGATAGTAGTATGTAATTTTTACAGCCTGACACAGGCTTATAATTGTGACCGTCCAATGTGGGTGAAAAATCTCATATTTAGTTTAGTTTTTTTTCCTTTATATCTTATCCTCCTTTCTTTTCTTTTATTTGTTCTTTTATGTATTCCTCTATACCTCTGTGCTTTGTTTTCTTAAAAATTTTTTCTTTTCTTTCACTTTCCTATGAGAAAATATCATCAGATTGGCGATATCTATTGTAGAGTGGTAGTCGGACGAGCCCCAAGGGTATTATCTTAATTGATCGTACCTAAAGGTATGGCGTGGTCACCTGTAGGTATGTGTAGATAATTGGTTATGTTATGTGAAGAAACCGCAGGATGTCAGATTCTCAGTTTATTGTTTACGCTCTTTTTACAAATTTGATGCTTGAATGAATAAAGGATACTGGCACGATTTGCATAAGTAAAGCAAAAAAAAAATGATTTTATAGCAATTTTCATATTTGAAAAAAAATTTTTAAATTTTAATTTATCAAAATTTGATAAAAGAAATTTTAAATATTTCATTAATAAGTCAATCGCGACTTTTGAAAAATGGAATTTTTCTCGATACTTGAGCACCCAAATCAAAATTTCTGAATCATTTATGCTTTTGTTCCTATTAGAATTTTTATAATTTAATTTATTGAAACCAGAAATCGCAAATACATCAACAAAAATCCTATTATCATTCATGAGCTGTTTGTAATTCTCATAATTTTCATTATCTGAATTATCTGAATTAAGTTTGTTAAGTAATTGAGAATCTTCATCACAAGAAGAATCACTATATAGCTAAATTTGCTATTTAGATCCTTTATCTAAGATTATTATAATATCATCAGTTTTTGAAACTAATTGTATTATTTTTTTTAAAAAAAAACTGATCTAGCAAAAAAAAAAACTCAATTTACCACTATCGATTATCATCGTATCGTCTTCATGGATATTACGAATTTTAAAATAATTTTAAAATGATTTGTTAAATAAGAAAGACGGACTACTGTTGAATTATTTTTATCTTTTCTTTCTAGTAATTTTGAGATTAAATTTTGATGCCATTTTTCTATCACTTCATGAGCCATTCTGGTTCTTGTTTCTACAAGTTTACTGTTACATAATTTACAGTTACATGGTACTTTGGGTCATGCTTCTTGGATATTGCATTTCTTTTAGGTATTGATGATAGCAAATTTTTATTTAATCGATATGTTCTTGATTGAACACACATTTTTTTTTAAATAAAATAACAAAAATCGAGTTTTGATATTTAGATTATAAAAATTAGAAATAACAATAGTTTATCCAAAACTATAGTTTAATATGCTAAGAGAAATTGTTTATACTTATGTAATTGTATTTTAGGTATTTTAAAGTATAGTAATATGGATATTTTGATGTGTTTTAAATTGCTGTGCTTTGAATGTTAAGTATTTGGGCTAGGTATTAAAAAAAAGAACTAAATTAGTAAAAAATAAGGTTAGTAAAAGATAATCATAAATATTAAATTATAAAAGATTATACTGTAAAATTTTATTAATACAAATTATTTAAGTAAAAAATATTAATTTTAGATTAAGCTTAAAAAAATTTTATTGGTTTGGTTCCTTTTTCTAGCACTTAGCCTATTTAATTAATTTAGAGATCTAATTTATAAATATGACCTTTTAATCTAACAATAATATTGATATTAATAATGGCAATATTACTTAAATTCCTTAACCATTCAAGTGAAGATAACTATATACGCATAATGCTATTAAATTTTTAAAAAAGCATTTTTTAGTAATTCATCATTTTTTATTATATATTTATATCATAATAAACTTCAAATATGATACTATATATTTATATCATATTGTCTATTTGATTTTTTATTATAAGATTGTGTTATGCAATAATAAGCGATAATAAACTTACAAATACAATATTTAAGTTTTTTTTGGTTCAATTAACCAATATAAAAGACTAACTTATAGACGGTTTTAAAGAGAGTAATCACACTTGTTCAGAATACTTTATATACATATATATATATAACATATATCATTCTGGAAGCCATTATTGTTTTAGGCATAGCCAAAATAGATCTCGCTCAAGAAGTTCGAGCTATGAGTGGTAAAAGAATAGAAATAAAGATTATTTTCATAATAGTAAAGATAGAAGGATTACCAAGCATAATTAGTAATTCATAATATTTGTTCGATTTATATATTGTATCATATAGTTAACGCTTATGACATCTATTTAGATTTTCACAATCTAATTTTAAGGAATTACTACAAAAAAAACCTTATAGCAATAAAGAGAAAAAAAGTGTGTCAAGATAAAGAAAGTATGTGTCAAGATAAAGGATGTATATATCAAGATAAAGAAGATAAGTTTAACTACTATTATTGATTGCATATTTACATTATATTTAATTAATATAACTTATATGATTAATATTATTTTAGATGAAATCATTTTATCAACACAAGATAATGAGATTCAAAAATTGTTTAAAGAATTTTTAACAAAATAAGCCCACTTATAAATAATGAGGATGAAAACTGAGCACGGTTTCAGAATTAATCGAATGGAAATCACTTAAGATCTCGAGACAAATCAGACTGGGGCCGATCAAGTTCTCGAGACAGACAAATTCAAAGCAGTTTAGAACCTCATGACAATTCAAGACCAAGTTGCTTACAATTTCAAGATCGATCAAGCAGAAATAATTTGCCAATTCGAGATAATTCAAGACTAAGTCACTCACAATTTCAAGATCGATCAAGAAGTAGTAGTTCGCCAGTACGAGATAATTCAAATCGAAATGATTCACTAGCAGTTTCAAGTTCTCCAACTATTAGACATAAATACTTATTTATTTCTGACCTTTCTCACGATCTTCGAGTTGCTATTAGGGTAAGCCAATATTTGTTTCCGGTTTCAGAAGCTATTGTACGTGAAATGATTTATGTTCATCATAAAGATCAGTGCAAGGAATACAAGGTTAAACAGCAACCACTTATGTGCCAGGAAAAACGTATCAAAGAGAAATATCAGAATGGCAGAAGAAATTATGTAAGTTTATTCTGTATTTTTTTTTAATTTTTTACTAATTTATTACATTTTATAATAGAAGCAAATAAACAGATCTAATACAATCGAGCACTTACATGCAATTAATGATCCGTGATTAAGTTATTTAAAAAAAAAGAACTTTAGCTGATTAAAGATATGTCTGTATACTATTCACCTGAAGTTTCAGAAACTGAAGAAGAGAATCTTTCCAATAGTAGAAAGATTGTTACAAAAGATTTGGAATGGTGCTCAACTACCATAAGATTAATGATAACTATTGTATTTGGTTATACAAATTTTAATTTGTCCTCATAATACGAATGGGTCTTAATTTAAACTATAAATTACCTTTTCTTTAAGAGTTACTTACAATAGATAATTTACAAAACTCTTTAAAGATTTACAAAAATTAACCCAGTTAGATTATAAGTACAAATTGATTAATTTTGTGTGGTTTTGTTGAGGGTTTATGTTAATTTATTAATTTTATTTATAGCTACGGTCATTTCTACGTGATTATATCGATCATATATTTGCTGAATCATTCAAGATCCTGAAAAAATGACTACATATTCAAGATACTGTTAGCTATTATAAGGAAGAATGAATAAAGCTATTCTTGGCACCAAATTGAACTATTCGTAGTTACAGAGGGTTCTGAAGAATGCTGTGCAAAGTGCTTGCGACAAAAGATCATCTAATATATATTTTTAAAGGGTATCAAAGTGTAAAAATAAGATGTTCGAAAAATAGTAATTATTCACAAATCGCATTTGCAAGTAAATATGCAGCTAGATCTCTCTAAATAATAATTATTCAAATGCAGATTTAAAAAGGTAGTTTATAAGTGTTATATTAGTTGTGCTAAGCTAATATATAATATGTGTATAACTTACTATTTTTACTAGCTTTTAATGAAACTGTATTAAATATAAAAATATCACCTGTATATTATGTTGGATTTGAATGACTCAAAGCATGCGAACATAAAACGCTCAATTAAAAGAATAGTCAAATCTTTAAACTTAACCTTTTCTTTAAATGGCCCTTGTTTTTCTTCAAAATTTGTACTTATTTTTTATTAAACTAATTGCTTTTTATTTTTTTGTTCACATTTATTTAAGTATTTATATCTTAGTTTAGCTTGCTACATATATCAAATACAAAATTTGTTATTATTATAGAATGGATCAACAAATACTTAACTAAAAATTTTAAAATTTATAATGGTTTGGTAAAAAATGTGTCATAGTCATGAGCTCAATTCATTATAAAAAGATTTAACTGTATTAAATCTCATTCAATGTCTGTTATACCTGCTACCCTGAAGTACTACAAAGTTCTAATCCAAACAGGTTAAAATTATTTGAATTTTTTCAAAAGTCCTAAATCCAAAACCCTTAGAGATATAAGCTATACAAACCAATTTGCAAACTTTATTAGTTGATTTTTACTGCGCTGATCAATGTATAAAATTTTAGAGTTTAGAACTTTTGGACTTTTACACTTGAGATTAGAAATTTTGAACTTGTGATTGGACTTAACTACTTGAATTTGGGGCATGTATGACGTTTGTGCAATAATTTGCTAAAAAATGTTATTTGATTGATTACTTTCTACATACTTATTTTCACGTGATTCTTGCATCACTCGCATAATTTACGTGACTCTAAAACCCTAATATATTTTTATTTACCAAATATGATATGCATGAGCGGCCACTTTTATAAAATTTAGTTTAAATATTTTTATTCTACCTTACATATTTATTCATATATAATTTTTCTTTTCAGTTATAAACTTGCCTAATTCATATACAATATTAATCTTTTTTAATATTAAAGTTCAAAAATGATTTTTGAGACAAAAACGAAATTAAAAACTTTATTTTTATTTTATGTATTTTTTTTTAAAAATAATTTTAATAGCAAAATAATAAAAGTTTATCTGCTATTAATTTTAATTAAAGATAAATAGAAGTAATAATATATATATATATTTATATATAACGTTTAAATACATCTAATAAATATGTGCAATCGACTAATGAAACTCATAAAAGTTCGATATAAAAGTGTCATGAGTACTTAAAAACAGAAACTGTCAGTTCACTATAGAAGAGTTGACTGTAATACTTATAACCTGCTAATTAATATATTATACCATTTGCATACATGTTTTTATAGCCAGAAATCTATTGAGTTGATATAGCTCACTCTAATTGTAAAGAAAATAATTGATTTAATTTAACGTATTAATCACACTGATAAGTCACTATAACCAATTTATTTATGCCTAAACTATGCTAAATAATAATTACATGTCAATTGTCACGAATTACTATTAAAGTATAAATACAACAATTATACCTAAAAATAAATACAAAAAAACACCCAGATATGTTGGTCATTGTGTACAATGATAACAGTGCCACAAACTTCTTAAAAATATTTTCGTGATTAAAGAAAATTACAAAAGAACTTACTATCCCAAGATAGCCAATTTTAACTCACATATAAACTAAATTTATTGAACATTGTTGAATCGTATACTGTATCTCCTTACAAAAAGTTCTACATCTTATAAATAATATCTCAAAAAAATATTTAATTTTGGCTTATCCACCATTATTAATCAATACCTTATCTACTAACAAGTAACACTGATAACAATAATTACAATAACAATTTTAGTCAAATTCAGAGTTATTTATATCATGAATCAATGCTGTAGAAAAAAAATTTTTTACACTCCCGACTAAGTATTCATATTGGTATTTCTTATTGGCAGTACAAATTATTTCTTCAAAAATTCATGACCAATATAACTTATAGATTATAAAAAGCAAATTTTTTCTATTGAACAAAAAATCGTTATTCTTATCATTTCTATAACTCTAACAAGGCG